TACTCATCCCCACACTCCAAACCCATACTTTGCTGCCCATTTTATTGCTTAATTTTCTCCTTGTTTAGGCATAGAAGATATTTTTGACACGTGTACATTTGAATTGGTTTGAGAAAAATATTTTTAATAATTACTTATGACAAGATTTTTTCTTAATTAAATATATTAATAGAAAATAAATTTGGGATATTATACTTTATTGAAGTTATATAACATATTATCAAATAAGCATGAAGTGTTTTATAATGGCCATGAGACTAGATACTAATACAAATCATTGTAAGTAAAAATGTCAATTAATAAATTTATTTGCGCGCTCTAAGTACAAAACTTTACGTCAAATCACATATTTATCGTGAAGAGACAGAAATTAAGAAAGGATTACTCACTCCTATCATATAGCCTACGGTTAATGGACGAAAAATTGCATCTATTTTTCTGTTTCCCAACTTCTTCTTGACTTTGCCATTATTCTTTATTGGGCAAAGTTATTTATCTTTTGCTAATCATATTATACTCCCCCACACACAAACAAAAATCTCTCCCCTTCCCCCTTAGTCTTATGAACTGAGACATTGGGGAAAATCCCACCCACATGTATGACATTGCTGATATCGATCACCTTCCGTGTCAAAAGATCAATCACCCACGTTCACCTCATTGTTCTAAAATCCGAAACGTCCCGATTGAGAGTTATATCATCACCTACCACTATATTGAGTTAAAGACAAATAACCACATGAAAACAGCGAGTAAAAGGTCAACTTCTTGTCACTTTTTCCCTGAAAAATACAAAGCAAAAATGACAAAAACCGTATCGTTGTTGACTTCACCTTAAAGTTTTGGTTGCCCCACGTAGTTATGCAATGTTACGGGCTTGGTATTAAACTGAAACAGAAACAGCCCTAAGGCACGATTATTGATTCTTAGACACGTCATGCCACCAAATTAGAATAATATCCTTCTTATTATCGTGTTTAACTTGGACTAATGATTATTTGTAAGATTCCTCAATGCTTCATACGTGACATCAATGCATTGCCGCACGAAATACATATAACAAAATAGTTAATGACGTGCTAAATTTGACTTAATGGAGGTCATCATTCTATACTAGACTGGCCACTTTAGGGGGAAAATATATATATACCTACGATTAATTAGATCCTCCTTCTATTTTTCCAAACTCGTTTGCTTCTGCTATATTGGATTTGACCTGAGCTGTTACCTAGATTTGTTTCAAGTGTGGAGGGCGAGTGGACTTTGTCATAGGTTTTTGTTATATGTAAGTTCTGGGGAGGTTAACGGAAGCTAATCTTATTCTAAGTGGAATGTATGAGAAAAAGTATAGCTTTAATTCTTTGTAAAAGAAAAAGTAGTATTTTTCTTCTTCTTCTTGTTGTTTTTTTTTTTTTTTTGGTAGCTGTATTTTTCTTCTTTTTGTTATAAAAGAAAAAGTAATATTAGTGCAGCGCTAATATAATCAAGGTAGGCTAACAATTATGGAAAGATTATCAATTAAATTTAAAATATCTTAGATTGATGATTGCCTAAGATTGAACCCACTATTGCAAAAAAAAAAATGATGGTTTTTAACAATTTAATTTGCGCGATCGGTTACATTAACTTGCACGAGAGGAAAGAGAGCTTTTATCCTCCCTCCCTCTTGCTACTTTTGGTGAAATCTAGAACACGAAGAGACTATTTTGTCGTACATGATTACCTCAACAAAACGATGGGTTGGTTACATATTTCCGAGTTCCAACAAAGATAAATAACCTTCTGATTATTTAACAAATGGCGGTAGTTCGTAAGAGAGTTAACTAAATGGAAATGAAAAGTTCTTCGATTCATTTTTAGGAGAGATTTAAAAAAATTTATTCCTAATTCATATACTCTAAATTAGTCCGGCTCAAAGAATCAAAACTAATATCAATAAAAATTAATTTCTCTAAATAATTAGGGTTGAGTTGATTCTAAAAAAATTTTTGGGATTATTTGTCAAAGCCTCCCTCATGCTGCAGTTCTTTTTCTCAATGTGCATTCTGCAGAAAACTAAATGTGCATTTTTTCCCGGGACAGAATAAAGTGAAAGACAGATAAAATATGGAAGAGGGTTCAAGTACCAAAGATATATAAATAATCAGGATAATTTAAGGGTTTTCTTAATTTCTTCGTATAACTATATTTTAAATTAATAACATGGTATAATTCTAAATTTATTTTTTATGATAGTATAAATTGTAAAATATCTAGATCTAAACCAACTTCGGAATAGTTTTTTTAATAAAGCATCCACATTAAATACAATTAAATATATGGTTTATATTTTAAGAAATAATTTTACTATTGCATTGATTTGACACATGACTTAGCATTGGGAAAAGTGATTGTCATTTTAAATGACAGAAAGTTATATCATTTTAAGAGAGATACAGACACAGAAAATTTAAATTTTAAATTAAAAAAAATCGCTCACTTTCTCTCTCACATGATTTCCGTTTTTCTGTGTCTATCTCTCTCCTCAAATGACATAACTTATGTCATTTAAAACGACAAACAATAAACCCAAATTTATTTTTATATTATTTTAATAAAATCATAGACATAAACATTTTTCCTAAAATAAAAAAATATTTTTGAAAAAAAAAATTTCTCTGTCACATAAAAATGAGGGGATTTCATGTGACAGAAAAACAAAAACATTAAACCCAATCATAACATGCAATTACAAATTATGTATGATAATAATCGTAACTTTTTAACCACGAAATATGCATTTTATAACTCACATCAAACATTTGTCCGAATTTAATATAAATATTTATGATACATTTGTCATAAGCAATTTGAAACCAACAAAGCTCTAGCTAGGCTTCAGACATTTGTTAGATATATCATATAAATGTTTGATGTGAGGTCTATAATACGTGGCACAAAAACAACTGACTTGACGAAAAAAATTCAGGGCTATGTTGACAGAGCCATGACAAACCAATAATGACGGAAATGTATTTCTCAAGAACAAAATATTATGTAATTTTAAATAAAATGGTAACATTTAATTTTACGGTGAAAAATAATTATCATACAATGGAAAGTTATGATGGGAAAAAATGAGGTTATCGATAGAAAAAATTTAATACAATGAAAAATTATGAAGGGGAAGAATGAGGACAGACACTTTTCTTTAAGTTTATTGCAATTCGTTATTCATGTTGATAACTTTATTAAAATAATATAAATTAATTTAGCTTAAGTTGTGCTTAAGTCCACTTTTAATAAAAAAATATTAATATAATTAAAAAAATTAATATTTAAGTCACACTTGATGTCTACAAGTTTAATTAAAAAAATTACTACGAAGTTATGGTTGAGACCCATGACTTTTTATAATTTAATCATTCTAAAAAATAAATTAACATCGAATTATATAAAAAAAAAATCGCATCAGTTGAATAATAATCTACCAAGCTAAAAACAAAGGAATAAAAACAAGGATTAAATTTGGAGAATGAGATCACCTAAGTAAGTATGTGAGAGCAGAACTGAGTAATCAAGGAGTTAATTAGTAACAAGTTCATGTAAGAACATTTACAATTTTGATAAGAGTTAAACCAGGCCATCTGTCTTCCGTTGAAGGTATTCGGGTATGGAAATTGGAAAAGAAGTTAATAAAGAATATATATATATATATATATATATATATATATATATATATATAGAGAGAGAGAGAGAGAGACAGGATCCTTTGACACCGGTGTCAAAAAAAAAGTTTGACACCTCATCTGAGAACCGTTAGATTAAAAAAAATCAATGGTGTCACATGCTTACAAATCAGAATCGTTGATTTTTTTTAATCTAACGGTTCTCAGATGAGGTGTCAAACTTTTTTTTTGACACCGGTGTCAAAGGATCATGCCTCATATATATATATATATATATATATATATATATATATATATGAGGTATGATTATTTGATACTGTTTGACACCTCATTTATGAGCCGTTAGATCAAAGAAGATCAACGACTCTGATTCGTAAGCATGCAACACCATTGATCTTTTTTGATCGAACGACTCTCAGATGAGGTATCAAATTTGAAATTTGACACCGATGTCAAAGGATCCTACCTCTATATATATATATATATATATATATATATATATATATATATATATAAGGGAAATGAAGTATCATGTTGAAGGAAAAATAATTTTTGTCTTAGATGAAACTTCATTTCTCCACACATATATATGTGTGTGCGGAGGGCATGAAGCCTTAATTATAGTAGTGTTATTAAATCCGACATGTATATTGACTTGGTTGGAATAATGGGTCACTGGTCGAGTCGATTGATCCTAATATATATAAATATATATAAATATGAAATATATAAATTTAATTATATTTTCTATATCTAAAATAAGTTAAAGAAAGTTCACTAAATAAGTTCAAAAATTACTCATTCACACTTTTATAAGTTCATAAAGCACAAATAAATAAAAATCCAATTACTATGACAATATAAATTGCAACTCAGAATCTTCAGATGCATACCTCTCCACGATATTCAAAAAGTAGATGTTGTGACATCATGTTTTTCAAATTCATCTACATTATAATGACATATGTCACATTTTTTTAATTTATTATTTCACAAATTACTTTAGTATTAGAAGCTGAAATTTAAAGTCATTGTAGAAGAGTATATTACTAGCAAATAAAATTACAGAAAAATTCTAAAATGAGTTCTACATATTTTTTCTGACAAGATGAAATAATTTTAATTTTGATTTTTTTAATAAAAAATTGTGTGACCGATCGGGTTATGGGTTCCATAGTACACTTACCGGTCAAAAATAATTTGTCTATTAAAGAAATATAATATATTAGTTAACAAATATGTTTATGTATTTATACTATTAATTAATTAATGTGGCTGACTTAACGAATAACAAAAAATAACTTTGCATAAAAATGTTAGTACTGATAATTATTATTATTAATGACAACACAAACAGTTGGCGCATAATAATAATAATAACATATTCTTATATAAGAAACATACCAACCACCGGGCACCATTAATACACATTATAGACACGCCATGAACGGTTGCTGCGGTCAAAGCTGAACCTCCGGCCACGCCGTGAGGTCGCCGGAGGAAGTCCACGAGGACCCGCTTGGAGAACTCCAACAACAGTACTCGCTGTCCATCAGCTCCGGCAACTCAATCTCACCCCAAAAATCATCGCCGCCGCTATCCCCGTCGGATACAATGCTACTTTTCTCATCAGGCAAAGTTTTAATCATATGCGCCGCCTTGGCCGCCGCCGCCTGAATGTCTCTGGCGGTGCATGTGGACGGAAGAGGCAGGTGCTCCACCTCGTCGGGAAAATTGAGCTGGGCTTTTCGGCCTTTCAGGCAGTACGCTGCGACGTCGTATGCTTTCGCTGCCATCTCCGGCACCGGGAACGACCCCAACCATATGCGCGATTTCTTGCGTGGCTCCCGAATTTCGGATACCCATTTGCCCCACCGCCGCTTCCTGACGCCACGGTACACTGGGTGGCGTGTGCCGCCTTGCTGGCTGTCGGTTTTCTTGGTGGTAGTTGTGGCGGTGATGGTTACGTCATCTTCGGGGCACGGTGGTGGTTGATGGTCCATTTACAATTTTCACACTGGCAGCCGTTTTGGCTCTTCCAGTGTCTCCGACATTTATAGGCTTCATCAAACGTTAAAGTGACCAGCGACGTGAGATTACGTAAATGCCCCCAGATTAAGGGGGCAAAAGTTACACTTTTTGGTCTCGTTTGTTGGACAGGCAGTAGGATATGATATGCTGCTGAATTGCTGATAAGGGTAGGATATGATATAAGGCTGACAAGTCTATATTATGTTTTGTGTTTGATGAGCACTGATCAGCAATCTGATAAAATTATGTAGAACGAGAAAGGAGAAAGAAAAAACAAAAAATAATGCAATAAATATAAATATATTGGGTAACGTGAAGATATATTGGATATAGCATGGGGATATATAGGATACCCAATATTGGTATCCTATCCTATTGAATCCTAACTCAGCTCCTTCCCATAGAATAAGAAATCATGTATTGGATAGAATAAAATGAGACAATAAGATAAGATAATCATCCTATTGACTCCCCAAATAAGAGATAAAAGTAAGATATGATAAGATATCCTATCTTATCTTCTTTATCAGATACTCCAAATAAACCCTTTACGTAAAGACCCAGCATGCAATCATGGATGACATATTTCACACATGATAATGCGCGGGGGCAACTATTTGGAATGGTCAATGATATTTTGAAGGGAATTAACTTATAAGGCTTCATCATGTCCATAGACTTTAGATTAAAGAAAACCAATTCTTTAATTAATGGTTATTGGTCAACTTTTGAAGTTTATGTATAGTATATATACTCCCCAATTGGTCTATAAGGTGAGAACTCTTGCGCAAAAAGAACCAAAAAATTATCCATTATATCATGGTCAAAATATGTAGATATATTCTTACTTTCTTTCTTTCATTACTCGCGGCTGGTAAATTTGGAGACACGCTAGAACTCTGAAATTATTACGATTTAATAGCACGTTTAATTTGAATATACGAAACAAAGTAATAATTGATCAATTTAACTTAAACCAACACACTGGACATTATAGTTTAAAATAATAACACGATTAAACCTGTAGAATTGGTCTAGTGATGAAGAGTTTGAGTAGTTTGTATTAGATTGTGTGTTCAATTCTTACTATATTGTATAAAAAAATTTATAACACGATCATGGATCACGGTGTGAAATTTCTAGTGTTGCTAACTCCTGCCAGTCAAACTTTGAGATGAAAATTAGTAAATTTGGAGCAACCTGCGAACAAATGCTGATGAACACTCATTATTTTTTAGAAAAACCTCCACCTATATGATTCTGACATTTTAACAAGCAGCTTGCAAGCTTCATCGACAATGAAACGTGAAATTCAAATTAACAAATTGGACCCAGCCCATTAAAAAAGGTCGTGAGACCCACAGCAGGAAGAGGAGCGTACGTACATAATTGATGACCTATGTTACGTGGATGGACAAGTTCGTTCATATTGGGAGGACAATGACCAAGGTACCCCTAAATTACTTGGTTGCTAAATGTTGAGCTCACAACTTCACATGGGAGAGGGTTGCACGGGATTAGGGTGACTGTTTCACCTTTTTGGTGGGTGGGAGTGGTAGTGGGAGTGGGAGGGATGGGTTTCATTCACAATAATATGACAAACACAAAGCCCATGTGTCACAATTCTTGCGGATATAGATATCTGAAAATGACTACTATTTCAATATTTTGTGCATCCCATCCCATAACCGTCTTGCATCACTTTTCCATTTACATTTTTATTTCAATCATCTCTACTGTTTTGTAACCCGCCACTACGCATGACTTATACTATTATGATTTAAGGCAAAAACTTTTCTTACGTTGCAGATAGTTTCATCTCTCATGTCACTCAAACCTTTATTGTGTGGGTCCCTTTATTTCAGTTAATAAAAAAATAAACAAAAAACTTAAAAAATAAATCTATGAGACAACAGAAGATGCTTTCTCCTCGGCAGGCAACCGGAGAGAATCATCTCCCATGATTTAATCCACTTATAGTTTGTCACAAATACCGTTACAATAATAATTTTGACGATGGAAATTTTTTATAATTTGAAATGTACTAACATATGTTTTCCAGGTGCCATTAATTATTTTATTATTTTATTATGAGTAAAAAAAATACTCCAGTTCGATTAAAGCGGGGTTTGTCACAAATTTGACTCGCAACTTATAAAATCCATCATTGAGTGCTAAATTGCAGAAACAAGTATTCTTATATCTAATTTTAGCCTTGATTCGCTTTTATTTAAAAATTCATATATATAATAAATTAAAGTCATTAAACATAAACATAATTAAAAACTAAAATTGAACATATAATTTACACTGATATAAAATAATTATGTAATATATTAATTTATTTATGTAATTTTTGAATTGGATAAAGATAAGCAGGGTCTGTTTACCCAAAAAAAAAAAAAAAAGATAAGCAGGGTCTCAATGTACAAGCACGTTCTATACTCCAAGAGGCCTACATAACTTCTTGGGCCTAGTCAAAGCCCAACTCAGCTATAGTCCCACTGGTAGGACTTTGGAGTTAGGAGCTCTACTTGCCTGTTACAACTTCAATGTACAAGGACGTTCTACCTGTCATGGCAAGAAATAGCGATGGGATCTGGCTGTTCAGTTTCTCACTTTCTCTTGTCATATTTGTTTCATGCTGGGGGCGGTTAGGTACGGGGGATTTTTTAAAAATTTCGGTAAATTGAATTTTTTTAAATTTTAAATTTACGGATATTATCATAAACTAAATGTAAAAATCATATTTTTGAAAATTGAGATTCTCGACAAAAAAAATTTCTCCTGTACCAAACGTCCCATAACACTCAACATTCTAACTGAAGTAACGGTAAAATAATTCATCAACCATCAAGCTATTTGGGCTACTCAATCACACAGGTATGATATAATAAAGTCCTTTCACTACTAATAACTGAAATCAAATTCTTTAAGTAAAGTACTTTTGGTCTTCATAAATATTAGGAGCACAATTTAATTTTTTAGCAAAAAAAGAATTGACTTGTAATATTTCTGAAATTCAAAATAATTTCATATTAGACATTTTGATATGCTAACGTTTGTTTTTTTGAATTTGAGAGGGACCACAAGTCAACTGTTTTTATAGAAAATTAAAATAGATCCCGTAATTTTTATTAAGGACTCAAAAGTTACTCTACTCAAATTCTTTTGACGAAACAATAACGAATGACCACAAATGATTTTATTTTTTTTCCTCTTACAGTCATGTAAAATGAGCTAAAATGATCTGTCGACGGGAATGCCAAAAAAAAAATTGTACAAGCAGAGAGAGACGCATTCTGATTCATTGCAGAGGAGAAATTACACGATGCATAAAGTTGGATTGATTTTGTGTCAAAATTTCTATGACGTTAATAAAAAAAATATTATATTATTTTATTAAGTAAAAGTCATATAAAAAATGTTTAATAAATAACTATCATCGAGAATGTATCATCAATTTAACCTGAAATGATACATTCACTTTATCAAGTTACATGATACAATATTTTTTATAACATAACTCTTTCAAATTTGTAAATAGAGGTACAAGTACAAGAAAAGCTATTATATTTTATGTAAATTGCGTTACAAATATTAATATAAATTTATATAAATCTATCGCTAAATATGAGTTCTTTATATAACCAAATAATGTTAAAGATAAATGTTAGTGCCCATGTATTTAAAATATTAAACGAATGGAGAAAAAATGAAGAATCTGCGTAGAAGATCCCGAAAACAAAAACAACAAAGAACAAGAACATGTAACAGATAAATAACACTGTAAATACAGACGTATGCGAAAAATTCAAGTCTAACCGAAATTGTTCCAAAGTAAATTTGTCCTCTCCTCTGATGTCAAAGTATAGTGGACAATTGCCTCTAGTAGAACAGATTTCTCTCAAGAATAATGGCACTATCAATCAAGAGCCTAGACCGACACAATAAAATGATTGAAATTGATCGGATAAATTATGAATAATGCAAAAAAATTTGGCAGAATGTCGGTATAGGGATAAAAAAAATCATCTTTAAGATGATTTTCTGAAGTCCATGGTTATAAATAGACACTAGACGGTTGCTATAACGCATTGATTCATTGGGAAATGAAATCTCTCATGTGTAATTTAACATGATCATGTCATGTGGGAGAATTTTAACCATTAATAATTAAATCAACTGTGATGATTGTGTAACTTTCTATCTTTATTTTTTTTTTCTTTCCTCCCTTATCACGATTAACTCACTCATGTATGGTTATAATTGTCCCACATGACATGGTCATGTTAATTAGCAGATGAGAGGATCCACTTCCGATTCAATGATGAAATAACGCGAATGACTCGCGCGGTTTAAAAACCATGATAAAATTGCGACGTTTAGAGAGAAAACCGTTGGATACTGTTAGGGGGCGTTTGGTTGAGGAGAAATTTTATGAATAATAGGGAAATGATATACATAGGAAAATGGTTGGAAATGGTTGGAAAGTGAGTTTGATAGGAAAATGTAAAAAAAAGTTGTTTGGTTGGAAAATATTTAACCGGACAAATTAGGTAACATTTATAAAGTCTATGTTTGGATGTAGGTAAAATTTAGATGGGAAAAAAGATTGTTATTACCAAAATAACCCTGTTTCCAGATATTTTGAATCAGTACCCTTTACCCGTAAAAAGGGTTGTCATGTTCCAATGTCTATATGTTAAACAACCTGTATTGTGTTGGCTGGTTCATACACCCTTGTCCAAAGCATGGAAACCTCCCCGGACTAAAAGGGGTACCTTTTTCCCATCCTTGGCACATAAACCAGATTCTGTGTCGTAGTTGTCATTTTTCAGCATTATCATCCAAAATTGCCAAGGCCTTGGAGTGTCTTGAACTTGACACAGAGAACCCAGATACAGTTCCTTTTGAACTGCATAAAGGTCTGTGTTGTTTATATCTTTTGGTCCCAGACCAGGAAAGGGCTTTCCCA